GAGACTGGTGGAAAGGATGGTGATGACTCCCAGTTTATTACAGAGATCATGAGGAAAATGACAGTACCATTATATAAGATGGAAGGGCCGGGGAAATGGCTCAGTAGAATAAGCACTTTCCTGGCAAATGCAAGGGCCTGAGTTCAATCCCTGGTTCCACAAAAAAAAAAAAAAAAAAAAAAAAGAGTAATACATAAGATGGAAAATCAGAAAGAGGGAGTATGTGGAGAAAAAGACAGTGAAATCTATTTTGGACATGCTGAGTTGGGGGTTACTGAGATACATGTGTTGCCCAGAACTCAGATGAAAATAATGGTATAAAGCTCAAGTAAGGCTAGAGAAGGAGAGAAGGCTTTGAGTAAACATAGTGGCTGAGGTCCCAGGGATGGATGAAGTTCAGGCAGAGAGGATGTAGCAGAGAGAAGCCAGTGGGCCTCCTCTAAGCAGTGTCCAGGCAAAGGTTCCCAAGGCTACCCTCAGCAATGTGATGCTGGCCAAATGACCTCCCCTCTCTATGCTGGGAGTCTGTAAAAGCAGAAGGTTGGACTATGGTCTCTAAGGTCACTTCTCTGGCATTCAACCACTAATGGGTGATGGGATGTCACCTCTGAATCAAGAAAGATGATTGGTGCTGAGCAGACACCAGCATGATAGGCCAGTCTCTGTCTTTCCAGTGGGGACATAGACACTTTATGAGTCCTCTTAAGATGCCATGATTAGCGCCTATCAAAACCGCAAGAGCACAAGGCAGCATGGGAAAGTCCTGATGGAAGTGCTTGCCTGGGTGAATTCCAAAAAAGCCCACCAAGATAAAACTTGATCAACATCTTAGAGAAGTAAGAAAATTTTCCCAGGCCAGTGCAAGGCCATGTGCAAAGGGTGAGGAAAGTGAACATTCATGGACCAGTTGGAGAATTATTGCCCCCACATAGCAGGAGTGGACGGGGCGTGGGGCTTTAAGAAGGGAGGCAGCAGGGCCAGTCTGGGCAGGGTATCCTTGGCCTGCTAAGGAACACGCCGCATGCCAGAGTCAACAAGGAACCTAAGGAGGTCTCATATGTAGGAGCACAACAATAGCTGCTTCCAAGAGCGGGTTATAAAGACAAAGATCAGCACATCCCTAACAAGTAGTATGGTCAAGTCTTTCTCTCTCAGCCTGCAGGATGTCCCAACAACATGCAAAGCTATCAATAAAGTGGTTTAAACAGTAACATAAACATGATGCTACATTAAACTAGAAATGCCCAATGTGGCTAATCCTTCACAACATCATTCAGAAGAGGGGACCAGACTTACAAGAGCTCAGGCACATCTCATCCGAAGCAAACCATTTCTAATTTCTTGGCTATCAGTGTCAACATCCTAAGGCTTCCAAAAAGGTCTACAGCACCTAGGACTTGGTAGGGAAGTGATGACAGGGACAGAGCATTGGAGGGCATCTTTCACCACAGTAGACTGAGGACACTAATCCTGACGCTTCCCTTTAGTGACAGTCTTTCCATCTGATTCTTAGAGGGCGTCCTCCGCTTAGACTCTGTGTGCTAAAAGCCTGGCATCTGTTGACTCTTCTCTACAAAATCCAATCTTGCAATCAATACTCTGCAACCTTGGAGCCCTCTTTTTCTCTTGTTGCCAAGAGGGGCTTCTGGGTTCCCTCCTCTCGCAGGCTTCTCTTGCACCCACTACACTTTTAAATTTTCTCACTGCTTTATTTGCCCCTTCTGCAGAGTGGAAAAAAAAAAAAAAAAAAACTGTCAACAGGCTCATCATCCTTTTAGGTCACTATTTACTTCTTGCTGTTGCTTGTACTTTTGCAAAGGAAAAGAGAAGCTGATCAGTGGCTAAGGAGGCCTAGGGGCTGTGGTGGGTGTGGCAGAGGTTCTGCCCCACACCCTGGCTTCGGGCCTGAGCTGCCCAGCTCCCACACAGCTCTGCCCTCAGGCTCCCAGGAGACTTTTCTGCATTCCTCCCACCACTCAAACATCCTCCGGCACCAGTTTACTTTTGCCTTTGTATATTTCATGTTCCAGACCCTGGAAAACCACACTGGCACCAAGCAGGACTAAAGGAACCCCCTTGAGCCCAAGTTAGCAAGCTTTCCAAGCCAAAGGCTTCTGCTATCAAGTTTCCACAAGACTGGGCCCCCTAACCTCCCATCCACCTTCGAGCCTGACCAGGCTGCTCCACTTGGCTTCTGCAATTTAGGCTCCACAACCAATGTCCGTTTTTGGATAACACATTATTTTTGTTCCCTTCTTTGTTCCCACCAGGCCAAAGATAATTCCTCAACGTGGTCTTTGCTCTGGTTAGCCAGTTAACAATGGCAAAGAGCAGTGGGTTTGAGGAATCCAAAGAAAATGGAAACACAATGTCAAACATGTCAGTGGGAGGAGTCAGCTCACACTTAATGTATATGGATAAACACATTCTTCCCACTGAGCAGAGAAACCCAAATATGGACTGGTTGCTATCACATCTGTGAAATGCTGGTTCTTCTGGCTTTCTCAGATTTTCATGGCAGAAGAGATGTTCTAGAAACTTACATTTGTACTACGAAATGCAACATTTATCATCTCTGTCTCTCTGTCCTTCTCCATCCTAGAAAGGCCAAACTGGATAATATGCATTATTCAATGACTTAAAACCTCTCAAGGCTCCATTTGGCTGTACTATACCCACTTAAGGAACACAGACACTGTCAAGAGGTCAAAGCTCGTTAGTGCTGGAACCTAAATTCAATGCCCTTGAGATATAAAATGGAGCCCCAGACAAGGGCTTCCTGACTCTGCTTAATTCATTGTGACTTCTGTGTTCTTGGCAGGAGGTCTCACAAACCTAAGATCGTCTTTTGCTGTGAAAAGATCCCTAGCTGAGACCAGGGGCCAATAACGGAATGAGTGAAATTTGCTCCATGCAAAGATTCATGAGTCATCTCCACTACTAAAAAAAGAAATTCAGAGAAGCCAATGGTACCCACTTTGAGAGCAGAAACAAAGATAAGAATCAGAAAAGCAATGCAGGAGCACAGGGGAACGTTCTGGAGATGACCTCAGTCTTCCTTCAGAACCGTGGAGCGCTATTTACTCCAAGGAAGTAAATAACCTAGAGAGGGAAGCTGAGTCTTCAAGGACCCTGATTCACACCAGCTCTGAAACGGCCCCTCCTCCTTGCCTGCTTCTGACTTCTCACCCTGCATAAGAAGCTTCATACCTTTCCAGCCACCAGAGAAGACTGGGCAGTGACACTCCCAGGAGGGAGGCAACAGGCAGGAGTCATCACCCTTTTAAAACCTTCAGATTCATGGTGCCCAACTGGCCACAGCCTACCTTAGTTCCTACAAACAAAACACAGATGATCATAAACTCGTCTGCATACCTCTCCTCCACTGAGCCACTGGGACCATTAGGAGGGGTCCATCAGCATTATTCAGGGAACATGAATGCTTCTGATGATAAATTATCTGTACCTTTATATTAACACAGAGAGAGAGAGAGAGAGAGAGAGAGAGAGAGAGAGAGAGAGAGTTTTCTTTTAAACTAAATGACAAAATCATGCAGCAGAGTGTTTCTCAAGTATGATGCACCTATGGATGCTTCAATCACATCTTGTCATAAACGCAGATTCTGATTTCTGTAGGTCAGGAAAGTAGCCTGAGATTTCACACTTCTAAATAACCCCCTGGATCTGTCAACGATACTAACCACACTCCAAGTAAAAAAAGGTAGATGTTTATAAGGCCTAGAGTCAAATAAATTTGGGTTTCAATTCCACTGTATCTTTCAGGACCTTGACAATCTCAGGCGGCTGGTTTTCTAACTTCACTATCTCCTCACCTCTACAATGGAAATAATAACATCATAAAGCACTTGATGATTGCATAATCTAATGGTGCAAAGCTCTTAAAGGCAATGCACAGCATACAGTAAGAGCTTAATAAATATCAGGGGCTGACTGTCTAAAATTCATGAGGCAGAGATGACAACTGACTTAGTGCCAAAACCACAACAACCAGAACACAGTAGGTGCTCCATGAGGGTCAGCGAATGAACGTATAACACATTCACATACAATATCAGCATTTTGCATTCCCTTGGTTCTGTGGTTTTTCTGCAGAAAAATATAAAGCATTTAGAACACTAGAATTATCAGTAGCAAACCAAAGAGCGGAATCAAATTCAATGTTTTAACCACCACGTTTAACCACCAAGAAATGTAATTTGTGGCAGCTATATACATTTGAGAAAATGTCTTGACTGTAAATAAATAAAGACAACTTCAGTCAGGAATCTGTATGTCATTAAGAGAAATTACTGCCTGGCTCATTATTTATGGGCTGTCCGAATGCAGATGCTATGAAAACCTTGATTCTAAAACTAAACTCACTACCAAAGCAAACAGAGAACTCCAGAGACAAAAGACACCATGGGAAGCAAAACTACATTCTAAAGAGCCACTCAGTACCTTCTCTCAGAAATGCGCACACCTGCCCAGGAAAAATTAGAAACAGAAAAATTAACAAATGGGAAAGTTTCATATTTAAATAAAAGGCAAACGAGTCCAACCAAAATTCTTCAACAATCTAAGATGACTTCTGTCCCCTAAAGAGAGTGGCATCATGAGAACAGATCTCATTCCAGAGGAGCACTGGGTAAGAAATGCAGCAACAAGAGAATACGATTGCCACCTACAGACAGAAATGGCATTCCCTTTGCCAAGGGTTGGCCAATCATATTTTAATGTGAAAAAGAAATTCAACCAAGTCACCTCCCTGCAACCTCTCCCCAAGCACTACACCCATTACTTCATTTGGAATTACTTTTAAATCGTACAATCAGCATTAGGCGTTATGTTCCTTCCTTATCGTCATCTTTATCTCTAATTTCCCAGAAACACTATACTATTCAACTGTCTACTTACACACCACTTGCAAGCCAAAGAGAAGCAAGCCAATGAATTTCAAGCTAGCAAAGGCATCCAAGTAAAAATGGAAATCTGCTTACCTGATATAAATGGGACCACCCTGAATATATCTGACAGTCTGCTGTTAACTGGTTCATATGGGGAATCTTCGAGCAAGTCATTTCCTACAACAGAAAGATTAGGCTCAGATCTGAAAAATAGATGCATTTCTGCTCAAGCTGAATTCTCATTAAGATTGCACAACAAAAGGATAATAAAATTTTCCAAGACTTCAAATGCATGTATTTGGTTGAGTTTTTTCATTTTTTTCCATTTCTCTACCTCTGTTGTCTTTGTTCTCCCCAGAGTGCCATGAAAACATTGGAGAAAATCCTAGCCTGTTTCTTGCCAGAAAACTCTCCCACACTGCAAAGAACTGAAATCAGAGAGCTAAGTGCCAATGACACTTCAAGCCTAACTGGCCTCCAAGAGCCAATGGAAGAAAGGTGACCTAGGAGAGCCCCCACATTTGTATGCTCCCCAAATGTGGCACGCAGCCAGAAAACAAGTATCCTGGTCATTAACTGAGTCCATCTCGGAGACAGATTTTCATGAATACAGATTCTGCAGGAAGTTGTAACTGGAAGATCAAATCTCTGCATTACAATTTTTCAGGATAGCATCAGTGAATTATTAATACACAGGATTTTGTGCCAGATTTACAAACACAAGCCACCCTGGCACATGCTTACCTAAAATTCTCCTTAGAATGAGTGATTGGGACAAGTGATCCTTCTCTCCCTGAGCTACTTGTGTGTTAACCAAAGTTGAGACCCAGCAGCTGCTTCAAAACTCAGCTAATCTAAAATGGCAAATGGCTTTAATCCAGTTTGAGAGGGGTAAAGATAGAATGGACTGCCCTGAACCTTTTAGAGTCCTTTTCCCCCTGTCAGAGAACAAGGTAGAAAAGAAGAAGGAGGGGGACTGGCAAAATGCAGGGGATGCCATCTTACGAGTGGTCTGCAAAGCCAGCTAGAGTTTCAGGTTGGCTCTCTCTGGAGACAAGCTGCGGGTTTCTCAGGTGGCTTTCAATGGGTCCCTACTGGGATGTTCTGATCAGATTTCCAAAAGGCCAGAGGGGTCCCAGGACTGCCCCCCACCTCCTCTTGGGTTTTCCAACAAGCAGGGCAACAGTGCTGCTCAGCCTCAGCAAACACCAGCTGCTGCTGCCCCTGGGGGCCAATGAAAGGTCCTCATTCCGCAGCTGGGGCGAACTGAGTGCAGGAGGAGCTCAGCCAGCCGAGGACCAGGGGAATCCTGCCTTCCAGAGCCAAAGGCAGCGGCGGCAGGAGGTGGGCGCGTACCCTGCAGGCTCTGGTACATGCTCCAGTAGATGCGCAAGCAATTCTTCTCCTTTTTCATGCCCCGCTTGCAGCGGCAGTTGTAGAGCGACTTCTGCTTCAAGGCTTCCATGGCGCTGCGGCACTCATCCTTGGCCTCGAGGCCCGATGCCAGGCTGAAGTTGGTCTCCTTGCCCGCCACGCACTGCCTCAACGTGCGGTACTTAGTGCTGCAGCTCTGCTCCTTCAGACACTGATCGCTGGCTTTCACGCAGTCCAGGCGGTCCCCGCCGCTCACCTCAGCGGACAGAAGCAAGTCTGCGGGGTGGAGGGGTAGAAGCCAGAGTGAGGCCAGACATGGATCCCAGTGCCCTAAACTAGCCCTGCGCTCTGGGAAGGGAGCGGGTCCACTTTCTGCTCATCAGAGTTCATTTTCCCGCCCACGGAACTCCGGGCCAGAATCCGCAGAGGTGCCCGGAACTCAGCCCGCGGGTGTGGCGGGGTCTACCCTACAGACTTCCGCGCCCACCGCGCCCACCGCCTTCGCTGCCCTCGGGCAGCGCAGCCCAGCGGCGGCCCCGCCTCCCCGCGCACCCAGGGCTGCAGCTGCCGGCTTCTCTCTTCTCGTCCCGGCCCGGCTGCAGCCCGAGGGCGCTCTGCGCGGAAGCTTGGAGGCGAGTTGCGAGCAGGACAAGAGGCGGGCGGGCAGCTGTCCGCAGTGTGCCCGGCGGGAGAGCCGAGACGTTATTCAAAGAAAAGTTTTCCCTTCGAAGTTTGCTCTTTCTGTCCAGTGTGCGCCCAACTCCACCTGCCCACGCGCCTCCTCTACCTCCTCCGGCTCGAAAGGGGAGCCAGGCCTGGGGCCAGAGGGTGCACACTCACTCGCTATCCGCCAGTCGGGGTTAGGCAAAGCCACAGCAAATAAAAACCAAGCTTGAAGCACTCCAGGCAGTGCCGCGCGGTCGCCGATTCCTGAGCCCAGGCATTCAGGATCTCGTTCCCCAAAACGAAACTTCCTTCCCCCACATCCACCGCACTCGCGCCGCAATTTTTTGAAAGGGGGAGGGGGACACCCTTGGAAAAGACTCAGTGGGTACGAAAATCCTTGGAGGCCTCGACTTACCCAGGAGCGGCAGCGCGAAGTACAGGGTCGCCAAGAGCATGTTGCCGGCGCGCGGCTGGTCCCCGCCCCCCCCCCTAAAAAAAATCCCGAGTTCCTGCAAGGTCTCTCCGAGGGAGCTCAGCATGCAGCGATCCCCCGATGGCTGCAATTCTCTGGTAGCCTAAAGTTCAGCTCCATCCAGTGCGAAGAGAAATCCCAGCCGGTCCGCTGCCGTCACCACCCGCAACTCAGCTCAGAGAGGGCGTGAGGGCAGGAGGCGGTTTCGCTGTTAGGGGTTCAGGTCCGACCCAACCTGGAAGGGAGAAGGCGCTTTAAAATGAGAGCCCAGAGCCTTGAAACCTCCGCCCCCAGCAGCCCGATCCCCTCCCTCGCCCCTGCTTTGGGGGACTTTACAACGCCGGGTGAAGACCCACCCCCACCCGCGTCGGGGCGCTGGGAATGCATGTGCGCGTACGGAGAGGAGGGGCGGCTAAACGGGCTGCAGCGGGCTGCAGAGGTCAGACGCAGGCTCTCAAAGTCCAAGGGGGGTGTCTGTCGGTTACAAACCAAGAGGCTGAAGGCAAGCAAATAAAAAATCAATATTACTTTTCGAGCGCCGCGAGCGGAGGCAGCAGCTGTCCGGAGTCGAGCCCTCGGCGACGGCGGCGGCAGCGGCGGCGGTGACGGAGGGTGCTAAGGCTTGCTAGCCAGTTCCGGCGTGGAAAGAGCCCCTTCTCCCGGGAAGTTAGCCGCCCCCTCCTCTTGCCCGTGAGCCAGCTCGTTCGCTAGCTCCGCAGCCGGCCCTCCGCATCCAAACCACCAATCGCTACACCCGGTGGCCGACACCCCCCCACCCCCTACCCCCTAAGCTCGCCTTCTTTCCCAGGCAGTCGGGCGAGAGGGAACCTACGTCCCGGCAGTGGCTGGAACGCCGCTCTTGCGCCCCTATGCACTGTGCGCCCTGCACTCCTTCGCCCAAGCGCCGGAGACTCGGCGCCTTCACACTACAGCTCGGCTGCAGCACCCGCGCACCCCAGCAGGTGCAGCCTTAGCGCCTCAAGAGCCCCTCCTCCGGGGACCCAAAGTTGGCCTAGAAGATGGAAAAGGGTGTCTGGGACAAGGGAGAGGGAGAACGGCTGTGGATTTCCAAACAGTACGAGAAAACTCCAAAGGCCACCGGCCTGGACTCCACCGACCGCATCCAACTGCGTTGAGGAGCCAGTTTATTCATTCATTCATTCATTCATTCATTCATTCATTCATTCATTCATCCATTGCATTCTTTGGAAGTAGTGTGTCCTGCTCCGTCGTTTCCTCTTCCTCGTCCTCCTCTGTCCAGAGTGACATTCTGTGTACTAGGAAAAAATGATGCAGTAATCTTCTACAGCCCCTAGGGCTCAGTTAGCCAGGACAATTTCTGAGCAGAGACAGGGGCTAGGGCACCGCAAGTCACCTCCAAAGCTTGTACTTACAGCTGGGCAGATGCACGCCATTGCCCGCCCTGGGACTCCTGGAGGACCAGCAGGCGCGCACAGCACACGCAGTGCTAGGCAGCTTGTCGCCAGCGCCTGGCAGGTTCTTTCAATTCTCATTCTCTCTCTCTCTCTCTCTCTCTCTCTCTCTCTTCTCTCTCTCTGTCTCTGTCTCTGTCTCTGTCTCTGTCTGTCTGTCTGTCTCTCTCTCTCTCCCTCCCTCCCTCTCTTTCTCCCCTCCCCAAAGCACAAGGGCTCTTTCTTCTTAGTGTACCCCGACCAGTCCAGTCTGAACACAAAGTTTTTGTCCCAGGAAACTCCCAGCTGTAACACAAGACTTGGCGCTTAAAGAAACACTCAGAATCAACTGTCCCTCCAGCAGTGATCAGTGATCATGGGATGTGGCCACCCATGACAGTAGACACACAAACACACACGCACACACACACTCATGTGCAAACGCAGTGTCTATCTGTCTTTAGTTTGGACAGCAGAACAAAACCTGAGACACCCCCCTCCCCCCAACCCACTACATTAAAAGCTGGTCAGACCTGGCTTTGGGGAATTTATCAGGTGACTTCCATCTTGGCTGTTTCACCATAAATTAAAATTTTAAATAAAAAGCTGAACATATACACAGACCTTCACCTCCCCCGGATCTGCCTTTTCCCAGTCCTGCTGTTGAACCTCCTACTCTACTGGGACATGCTCTTCACCCGTTGTGCACTCGGAGGCCCCTGGGGCACCCAAGTGTTCACTAGGTCGGGACTGGGCTTGGCACACAGTGGTGGGTGGCCTTTCAGAGGCTCAGGGATTTGTGTTCAACAGTTTTGCTGAAATCCAAGTTTGTCTCTCAGGGAGACTGAATTTGAATCAAGTACGCATGAGCCCAGCTGTCAAATCTGCAACCCCATCACAGCAAACAATGGGTTGCCAAGGAGGACAGAATGGTAACCTTCATTTTGATCGAGGGGGGTTAATTGAAAAGGGCAGGAGCTTTGGTTGAAGTTTGAGGCGCGGGTGTAAGGGCAGGGAGAAGAGCTGTCCATTCAACTGCACATAGCTCAGGCGCGCCCTTCAGCTGTGGCTGCTGCTTGCAGATGCGGCGCATTGTTTGAAGTCCCCAACGAGTATCTGTACCTTAGTGAGAGCCCTAAACCTCGCAGACATCACACCAACGCGCGCCTCCTTGGCTGCGGGCCAAATCCTCTGAGGCAGGAATGAAGAGACCCATGCCCTCATCAGGCATGCTTCCTTCAACAGACACACACACACACACACACACACACACACACACAAAGACACAGATTTCTAGTTCAGTGTATCAGTTTACTCTTGGTTGTTGAGTAAACAAAGCAAACATATGTCACATTTTCTCGACAGATGGTTCAAACCAAAAACCTACTTTTCTTTCTCTAGCAATAGTAAGTCTAACTTACAGGATGGACTAATCAGAAATATAATTAAGTCTTCCAATCAGTTTATTTGCTTTAAACAGTTTTATTCCTCCATTCTCACACACAAGCCAGAACAATCTGGAGAAGTAGTTCTGCTGAGAGGAAGGCTGAATTTAAGAAATTAAGAGTTTATCTGAAGATGGTTTCATCACAGACCCTCAATACATAATACCCTCTTTCACTGTTTTGTCACATAAGTAGAAGTATGTCTTCCTTGGGATGTCAGCAATTGTGTGCGGTTCTAATTTTCAGTAGCTGGACTGTAGTACATATCACTGTTGACGACTTGAGATGGTTGGGCAATGAAGAGATTGCCTTTAAAACATCCTTCACATATTTCATAAAGTTTTGGTATAGGAAGGATCCCATGTTACCCCCTATTTTCCATAGACATCCTCTAAATCAAATTTGAATAAGGTAGAAGAAGGATGGACTAAAACTTCTCTGGAAGTAGGATATGGGGCCTTTTAAGAAAATACTTAGAGTTTCAAGAATACTTCAGACCTACTCACTCAAGTTAGCCTTTAGTAAGTTCTTACTGATGATGAAAATAGAATTTGTTTTTAAAACTATTAGTTATAAACCACCAGCTGCCATAACTATGTTATCCAATACAGCAGTCATTAGCCATGTGGCTACTTCAATGAAATTAATTGAAGTTAAATACAAAAAAAATATAGTTGCTTAGAACCACTTCTCAGTAGCCTCACGTGGCTAAGATAGCTACCACTGGACAACACAGATATAGAATATTTCCATCTTCAGGAAAGTTCTGTGGACAGCACTACTGTCTAATGTTGGTATGAAATTAATTAATATGGCATGTATATAAAAGATCTTAGAATAGTGGATTCTTGCAGTCATAAAGTGAGTGTTTATGAACAACAGCAGTGTTAGGAGATGTGAAGGCAATGATGATGATGATGATGTTCATGTTGATAACCATGCTCATACCTTGTTACTCTCTTGGAGAGATTGAGAAAACCACAAAGACACAGCCAATGACAGGTATGTTCTCCACTCATGATGAGATCAGTAGACAAAAAAGCCAACCAGTAGAAGAAGGAATATGTCAAAAACTCATCTCCCCACAAGAGCTATCAATGGTAAGATGTGGTCCATAACCTAGCCTAAGACTTGCTATCCTAGGAGGTAATAAAAGTCACTGGTTTAAATTGTATCCACTGATTGTTAAGAGTGACAGAAATACACAGCCAGAAAGCCCTTGGAATATGGAAGATGGAAAAGCAGTGACTTGCTATATTAATACTACCAATAGTCCCTTGGTAATTATCTGTTTTTATGTGTACAAGATTGATTTGAAGATAAAAGGTGAACTGAAATATCAAACATTAGTAATTACAAAGGTTGCCCCCATCCTCTGTGACTTGTTTTCTCTGCAGAAAATTGGATTTAATGCTACAAAATTAGGTTGAATCCATTCATAAACAGGGGAAGCAAGCAATCTTCTTGTATTTCTTCTTCATATAAGCATATTTTCATAAGTTATCAGAAGAGTCACGGTGGGTATGACAGTTTTATTGCATGCGGCATTTTGTCTCTTACTGTCATTGCATTGGTTCTAGAGGCTTTATGTAAAATACATTAATTTTGTAAACTTATAGTCCTCAAAAGTCACTTATGTTTCTTTAACTCAAATGAGCTGATTAGAGCCCATTATTTGACATTACTTTGACAGGCTTTCCCCTGCAGATATCCAAATCACTCTCTCTCCAAATGCACCATTTTTAAGAAATTTATTTGTTTAATTTTTGCTGCTACAATTTTGCCCATTCTGTTCTGTCTGCTTAATATGTGTTTTTTCCTGATATTTTCAGGGTTAGCTCAGCATAACAGGTCACTAGGGATAACAAAAACTCCTTCCACTGGACCAATCAGTAGTGTCCTGTAGTGTAGCCCCAACCCCATTGGCACCTCTGTTTTATGTGCTGCAACATTATTTTGTATTTACTTGCTCCATCTGTCTCTCCAAGCAAAATGGGAACTTCTTGAAGGCAGAAAGATATTCTAGTCATTTTTATTGTTTTGCATCTCCAGCATTTAGACTTATGACTGACACATAGTCACCACCAATAAATGTCAATCGATTACATGAATAAGTGATGCTATTTCTTATTTTCCCTAACACCATAATTTTACTGAAAGATTTATGCAATCCCTTTACTATATGAACAATACCAAATATAAGTACCTCATACAATTACTAGTATTGCTGTTTCAATAATGGTATCAAATATGTATTATTCCTTTGGGGATTTGACATTTAAATTTTTTTTAACAAAACCTATTATTGTAATAGAATGCTCCTTTTCTGGTTCACTTTAATAGTAACATATGACATATTTCATTTCTGGGAAATGATAGCTTGCCTTAGGTCATATTTTAAGGCAAAAAGCCAGAAGCAGAGTAAGATTCCCACCTGAAGTTTTCTAATCATCTAGAAATGTACCTCTCTGGGAGAAGGGCCAGATTACAACCACCCTGAAGCCTTCCTTCTTCAAAGGCAAATTTTTAAAAGCTAAATTGGCCCCAAAGTGTTACGAATTTTTCCATAAACACACAAGTTTTCTTGTAATCTTTTAGGGAAAATGAGAAAATATTAATCACCCAAACCAGAAAGCTTGTGTGTTGGTCTCTATGCTGACATGGATTTCACCCTCCAATGCTGTACTTTGACACTTGCCCTTTGACAACGCAGGAAGAGGGAGTTCTCAGATTTCAGAGCCCTTTTCTAGGCTGCTTATATTAAGATGTGTCTTTTGGACAGTATTTGCAAATGAAAGGTTCCTATTGGCTGTTACGGTACCTGACCCCAATGAACCTATCTTAAGAAATTGCTCTTCCATCTTAGTTTTCAGGTAATTTTCTTTTCTTAGTACTAATAAGTCAGTGCAAGGATTTTAATGCATGTGTAGAAGAATATCTGTGAGAGTTGAAATCATTTGTGTTTGGCCTTCTGCCACAAAATGCATAAGGTGTGGAGCCCTGATGAAATAAAATGCCCGTCATGTCTTATTGCTTGAATATATGAC